TCAAAGAGAAATTACAAAGGGCTCTTATAGAACTCTTGAGGGCAAAATTGAAATTGGGTATGGGCATAGCAGACGAGATTCACAAAGAATTTTGAAAAAACAAACATTACCTCAAAGTCAAAGTTTTTGATAAAGATGAAATTTGGTCAGCCGATTTAATCAACATGCCAGTCGAGAGAGGGTACAAGTATTGTTTGACGGTGATCGACATATACACGAGATACGCTTGGGTCTTTCCCTTGAAAAACAAATCGGGTCTGACTGTCAAACAAGCATTCGAAACCATAATGAAACAATCCGACAGACGACCCCTAAAGTTGTGGGTTGATAAAGGAAGCGAATTCTACAACAGAAATGTGAAATCTCTGGGGTTTGAAATTTACAGCACGCATAACAAAGGTAAAGCCGTAGTGATAGAAAGATTCAACAGGACTCTTAAAAGCAAATTATTCAAGAAATTCACGGAATTGAAATCTCAAAAATGGCTTAAAATATTACCAGTTGTTGTCGACGAATACAATAACAAAATACATTCGTCTATAGGTGTGGCGCCAACGCAAGCCTCTAATAACCCGAATATCATAAAGTCCGTCAACACTCGAAACAACTTTGAAAACGAGATTAGCAATTTGAATATTAAACCCAAATTCAAAGTTGGAGATCGAGTTCGTATTTTTAAATATAAATCATTGTTTCAGAAAGGTTACGTCAGCTATTGGACTAACGAGATATTCATCGTTGATAAAGTAAACAACACATCACCTCCCACGTATGAATTGATCGATCAAGACAAAGAACAAATCATAGGAAGGTTTTATCAAAATGAACTTAAAAAAACTGACTTTTAAAAATGAATCTCGAAAATGAAGATTTAGATGAAAGGTTAAGAAATTTAGATGTCGACAAGCATTTACGCTCTCTTAAATTAAGATTTTATAAATTTAAATGTAAATTTATCTTCAAAATATTATTGAATGTGTTTTATCAGAATGTTATACAAGTTTTTTCGAACACAAACTACGTATATATTTCCACAATTGGGTCTTCAGCAATACTTTCCGCCTACTTCGAAAAACACCTAAAAAAAATCAACTTAAAAAATGAATGCATTTCTCGATAAATACGGAAAAGACACGACCACAAATTTTCAACTTGTGAAATGGGCCAAGGAGTTGAACGTCTCGCCGTTTTATTATTGCATGCAAGATGAAATTGATGAACTGAAATACAAGAA